GTCAGATTCTTTCAACCAGGGTCCGCCTTTGTGACTTTGTGCAAATAGGGTCCGGTTATTGCAAAAAAAATTTTCAAGGAGTTTTTAAATTTTAAATAGATACAAGATTATGCTCAACACTGTAAAATTATAATTAAAAAAATTAAATTTTGAAAAATAAACAGCAATTGCTGCTACTAAATTAGAGATACGACATACAAATATTTGGTATTTAGCCTATACTGCTCAACACAAAATATTCATTTCGGACGAATAATGGAAGAAGCGTCTGCCAATGTAATAAACGGAAGTAAATAAAAACGTTTCTGAGACATCTTTTAAGTTAACAAAAATTCGAGAAAACATTCGTCTAATATTAATGGCAATTTTCCTAAAGTATTGAAAACATCGTAAATGTGCAAAATCGTAATAGGCTGTGTGAAAATTTGAAAGAACTTAAATTCTCTGTTAATGAAAAATTTCCTCAATACTTTAATTTGCTCAGAACTATTCATTTGGTTTGTAGACCATTAATCAGAGTAGAAAACCATTAGTTATGACGAAGGAATCTTGAATAAGGGAAAAATAAAAACTCACTTGTATAGAATTTCTTTACTTTGTCAATCTGACAAAAGCACGTCTGCGTTTTGAAACGTAGGAAAATTTTCTTATTAAATTTCAATGTCGAAAAGATAAATAATGTTATCTTCTGTATTCTAATTAAAATAATGGCCGATGAAATATTTTTTAGATGAATACGTCTGTACTATGTAATACGCTAACGAGTTTCCAGCAACGATTAATGCAAATAAAATGCAGCTTGGACAAATTTTAGCAGAAAATTCGTATTTTCGTAAATTATTTTCTCTTTAAAGATTTTCAATTAAATTATTCACATCTTCCTCGGATATTTCTCAACTTTAAAATTAGATATAAAATCTAAAAATCATAAATGTTAAGAAAACGAACAGTCTGAATAACTTTTGATTTGATCACCGGATTTTCACGTTCAATCTCAATGATTCAAGCGTTAAACCTAAGTAAATTAATTCGAACGACATGAAATCAAAGATAAAAGCTTATTTACTCCTATTTTTATACCTATTTTAATGCCTATTTTTTAAGACAGATTTAGGTGGTTAACCCACTAAATAAGGGAAATGGTTAAATGCAATCTTGAATATTTGGGACCAATAGTTTAGACAGGAGAGCGGTCGAAAGTTTCGGCCACTAAATATTAATTTTACTTATTACTCTACGTCAAAGAAGTTACATTACTTTTAATTCGCCAGAACTTTTCAACTGATTCCTTTCAAATTTTGGATTTTTCCTTTAAAAATCACGTAAATTAAATTAGCGTGCAATTAAATTAAATATTAAAGAAAAGTTTTGCAAGTAGAATTATTTGAAAAAACAAGCTTTACAGTTGACTGCTGAAACCTTTTGATTCACTTCTTAAGATACGGAGATCTATCGAAATAAACAAGTAAAAAAAATAGCATTTTAAGTTCGACTGTTCACCTGCCTAAACTATTTTCTAGATTGCGGCTACCCTAATTTTTAAAGGCTAAAAATCCAAAACCGTCGAAAGAAATATACATTTATTCAGAAAAAGAACGTTTTTATATCTGATTTTGTAACTTTAGATATCTTCCACACTAATTTAGCTTTTGAACCATAGGTAAAAATATACTTGATTGTGCCCCTTGGCAAAATTGGCGACTTATGTTTGGCGCCATTCCTGTTTGCGCGAAACACCGTGGTAACATTTAATGGCGGCCAAAACATAATGATATTTCAATAAAAATTGGAAAATTCAACAAAACATCTGTCAAAACCTTATAAAATTGCAATGAACCCAATATAAGGAAAATGAATAAGCCCAATAAAATGCAATTTGAATCGAAACAAAAATTAATGGAGTAAGCACAGAAAGAAAAGGAAAAAAACAAATCACTTCTTCATTAAGCTTGAAAATCCTCAGATTTAGGTGCACAGAATTCTCTAATAGCAGTTAGATACTGTCTAAATTTATCATGAATAGAATCTGTGTACCTCCATTGCCACATAAATTCGGCGAAGTCCGAATGAAAAATGGCTTCTGTGGTACCGGACTGGCCGTGACATTTTTTTCTAAAGTCCCTTTTTATGACTTCCCCACATACCTTCGATCTTATTGACCAGAAGCAAAAGTAACCTTACCAGCCGGTATCCAACGTAGAACTAACAGACCTCTGAAATTACATGTACCGTTGAACATTTAAAAATAATGTCTAAACCAATCAGAATCACGATTGAGTTTCAACATCGCCCAGCTTAGCGATCAACAGCGATCACAACTTGGCGAGAATCAATGGGCACCCTCAAATATAATCTACCCGAACCATGTAATTGAGTTTACGAGAAAAACCGATCTCACGGTTCACATTCGTATAAAAAAAAATTCTCACTTATATAAGTTTTCATACTACTTTATTGTACGTATAGTGAAAGATAGATTTCACATTAGAAATATAAAATCCGATATTTAAAAAGAATTATAAACTATCATTCTTTTTTTATTTTCATTAAATTACAAGGATACATTTATTTTTCATTTCATATTTTATATTAATATAGTAAAAAATATAGAAATCTTTTAAAATATTTCAAAATTTTAAAAACATTTCGCCTCGAATCTCTTAAATAAATAGTTTTTTAGGTAGTATTTGTTCAGTATATTGCAAGGTATTTAATATGATTTTACAAAATATAGTTAAAGAATAGTGACTTCTTCAATATATAGCTTAAGAAAATGCATGTTTTGATAGGAAAACGTAAAAGTAAAAAATAATGACGCTATTCAGAAACTTGAATGGTAAAAGCTATTCCTTTAATAAAGAAAACAACATTATTCCTAAACAAATATTTATTTTGTTTGATTGCATATTTATTCACTTCACACTATTCTAAAAAATCCTTTGTCGCTGTTTCGTAAATAGAAAAAAAAGGTACTTTAACTGACACTAAAAATAAAACTTAAAAGCATCTGAATTCACAGAAAAAAAAGAAAACTTTATTGAATAAAATTTCCACTTCTATTTATTTGCTCTTTAAAAATTAGATGTGTCAACTTTGCTTTTCCAGTTTGTTGTAAATTTTATCTCAGATATTCTCAGAATCGCAAAATATATTCTGAAAATATAACACATAAATATGCTGTTGTTACTTATTCCGCTTAAAATTAAGCAAATTTTTAAAGCCGAGAGTGCGTTTCTTGCTCTTTCAGTGACGCTATCTATGCCGAAGAATACGATTTCAGCCACACACATGCCACAGCCCGTTTTACTGTGAGGACCCTATCATACTCCATTCCATACATCGTAATTTTGACCTGAACCACATAACGTATACATGAATATTGTATGAAAAATGCAGTGGACCCGTTTAAGTCTGCTGTCAACCCGATAATTTCCGAACGGCAAAAGTGATTAGAAATTAAAAGCATAAAACTGAAGTATATAGGTATAGTAAAATTGTCATTAACTATTCAATAAAACTGCTTTCAGAGCTGCCTGACAGAAATATTTGGAGTTAGCATTCTTAATTCCAAAAACGGCACAAGATACGAGAAAAAAAGATGTTCACAAAGTTGCTCAACATTATCGATTTATTACCAAAAAAATTAAACGATACAAATGAAAAGTACAAACGCACATTTGTTTGATCATATCGAACAAAACTGCGTTTGTCGAAAATTAGTTGACAAGCAACGTTGACTGCAACTTTAGGCTGTTTATGACGAAGTTGCATCAGTCATAGCGTTTCTGAGTATCCCTGCGCAGGTACAAGCCGTTAAGGATGAACACCTAGTTCTTTAAACATAGTTTGGTTCATGTGCAACGTTTTGAGAATTGAGTTGTTTCGCTTGCTAAACGAGATTGCATCGTCATGTGATTTTGTTGCAAAAGTTGTAAGGACAGCGTGCACCAATAGAGACTTGAACAGAGGTCTTCTCATATCGTAATCAAGCATTCTAAGACAGGGCAACTCTTGAAGATATCAAGTACGATTGAAGGAATCAAGGATTGAAGGAAGGAAGGAGGTTAAAATAAAGATTAAAAATATCAAAACTAGTTTAATTGACTGACGATGAAATTTGGAGATTTTTTCCTATAATAGTAAACTTTTTAACTTGATGTTTTTTACGGAAATAAAATAAATTTTGGTGTTTTTAATATCAACCGTATCATTATTGATTTAAAAAGTTTGGACAACGTTTTTCTTTTTTTCTTGCTTCATTATTAATTTGAGGTTCTAACTGTGTCTACAGTTTTTATCTAACTCTCAACAATATTCTGAAAATATTTATTCAGGATGGTCTTTAGGGAGTTTCCTATTTATTAAAAGAAAAGTTGTTAAATCAAGCGCAAAAACTAACAAGCATTATGTGAAAAAAAATATTTGCTGAGGAAATAAGGTGTTTTGATTCTTTTTAAAAAAAATTAATAACTTCATTGTTTGTAACAGTCACTAATATTTAAAATTTATTTTTTACATGCTGAATTTTCTCACAGCGCAATGCACTTTTGTTAAATATTTGTCTTTCTATGCAAATTAGTTTTCAACGTCAAGTAATTTTACAGTTCATTGCTCATAGCAGAAAACAATTTTAATATTCAATTATTTTACAATCCAATTTTAAAAATATCCTGACTTAATTATTTTTCTATTAACTTAAAGCGATTGTGTAAAGATACCTATACCTGTGGTTGGTTTGCAAGAGATTCTCAAGACAATAAGAATTTAAGATATCACAGTATCTTCGGGATGTTTTTTTGAATTAAAGTAAAACAAATAATATTTTATTTGATTTGCATGCACAATAATAAAGCAACTTGCAATTTTTCTGTTGCTTTAATTGACAATCACTAATTTGTTTTCATTACGTGGTTTTAAGAATTGAAAATATTTTTTAAAAATTTTTCATCATAAAATACTTTTCTTTCTTAGGAGTAATGAAATTCATAAATATCTCTTACCAGCAAGATCTTCTCAGTCTGTCTTGGACACTCAGGTTGTCTTTTTTAGCTGCTTCTTGTTGTAAGAGATAACTGTCTGCGCATCTTCTGTAATCAGCACTCAAATTTCTATAACAACTTGCGTGGATTAGGTACTCTAAAAGGAACAAAACAAAGATAACCATCTTCCCCAAAAAATAAATTTTACATAATATGAAACAAGAAAACATTATGAATAATACAGCGGGAATGAAGATTATGTTCCTATTTCTGACACGCTATTGTGCGAAAACAAATTATGTTGCTAATGTATGTTACTTGGTTATTGCAGCAACAGCAAGATACAAAAACTTTTAGTTCTCAATTTCTTAATTCACTAATCTGCACGTGCATTCATAAGCATTTTTAAGAAAATATGTTTTTTGTTCTATTTTGTGTTTGGAGTAATGATCTTAAATATTAATCAAGGAGAAAGAAAGTATAAGCTTTAAAAAACTATATGTAAATAAAGGCGGTAATCATTTTATATTCTCATTACAATGCTAGCAATTTTTTTTACAAAATGATACAGTATTTATTTATTGTATCTCTATATAACATAATGGTCTAACACCGTTTTCCATTGTTGTCTGCGCATTTCTATTGGCCGGAAAATCACGTGATAGGATCCAGTTTTCCCTCATTTATTTCAATATTGCGTTGGTTGTCATCAGCATAAAATTAACGGAAGTCGTAAAGGTATTGTTTTCCTATAAATATTTTTGTGCCCCTAATTTAAAGCTATTTTGCAGTACTGCTATTATTAGCGAAAATATTAAATTATGGTTACAAATTTGTTTGTACAATATAATATAATAAGAATATAAATGTTATTTTAAAATATGATTACTTCGAAAAATCACTTCTGTTCACCAAGAGATCTAAATGTTTCGAATACTAATAGATAGTAATATTTGGACGTGGGAAGTAGAGGCACAAGCGTAAGCAAGCAGAATTCCATTTAGTATATATATGTTAAGCGAATAATTTTAACTTTAGTAGGAAAACTGTTTTCTACCAAGAAAAGACAATTATTGCGAAGCAATCATGGGGGTTATTGAACGGTAGCGAACAGGGGGCTCAGCCCCCTAGTAACAAAATAATATATTGCTCTTCATCCAAACTTTAGCCAGTGTCATGTAATATTAAACATCATTGTGACCATTGTTCGTTTTATTTAGGTTAAGAAAAAAAAACATTTTAATGACAGTAGCTAGTAAGTACATGGTATGTTTTTAATTGTAACTTTTTGTTCCAAACCGGTTTAACTGTTTCGACGGAGCCTCGATTTCTTTCATATGGATATACGAGTTATTTTATCGTGACGTACCCAAGGAATCTGTCTTCTATTTCTTCAGCACTCTATGATTTAGCCATCAGAACAACTTTTAGTTTACATATAATTAATCGGTGAACAATACATTCCGTTACTTCTTTTCGAAGTTTTGTAGAGACAAAAAATAAACAGTACAATTGGAATAAGCTACTAATTATTTTTATTTTTTTTTTGTCGTATGCCTGTTTAGACAGTGGGGGTGCGATTGTTCCTGTTTTTCAGTGGCGCCATCTATGACCAGGAATTCGTCTTCTGCCACGCCATTCACACAACCACAACCCGTTTATAGGGAGGGACACATTCACATACAAAGGAGAAAGGACATAGAACACACAGAGAGAAAGAAACATCCATGCCTTGCCCGGGATTCGAACCCAGGACCTTTCTGATGCAAGGACTGTTCCCTGCCCCCGACACAGGCCGGTCGGCATAAGCTACTAATATCATATATAATAGATACAGTATAATAGAGAAAATTAGTAAAATAAGAGTTATTGATGATATAATTATGTGAAGTGAGCTGGAAAATGCTATAATGCAAATTAAATTAAATTGCAACTTTCAACTTTAACATATTATAATGTTCATTGACGAAATAAATTCAGTTTTTAAAAATAGAATTTGTGTTATATTTCTTATTATACGAGAAACAAATGTTAATTTGATTAACTTTTAGCTCTTAAATTACTATTTTTGTTGTTTTTATTGAAAAATATTGTTAATACAAAACTGTATTTTTTTTTACAATCAATATTAAAAGTAAAAACTTTTAAAGGTATTTATGCAGAAACGAAAATTTAGAATAGCTTGAATTACCTCTATTTACGAATGTAATAAGACGATTCTAATAAGTCTAATCTTCTAATTTTAATAAGAATATCTTTCGAATCTAATAAGTCCGACATTTTTTTTATTTATAAAAATAGATCTTTTTTATCACTTTAGCAACAATATTTTCTTGAAAAATATTGTTTTCCAATGAAAAAAAACCTATAAATTATGGCATTTTTTCCCGTTAAGTAAACACGTTAATTTTATTTTGCAACACATATTTAATATTAGTAGCAATGAAAATGTAGAAAAAAATTACAAACGAAAAATAAAAACATTACATTTTATTTATTTTTTTCTATTTTTAAAATTATAAACTTGAGACACGAGCTTGTAGACTTAGACAAAAGATATTTTTCAGATTTGGCGAAACAACTCCGTTTAATATTTTACCATCTGTATCTCCTTAAAAACTATTTTTTGGCAAATTAAAAAAAAATAATAATCCGTTGAAATGTTCTGTTAATACGCTATGTACAAATGAATTTTATAAATTTTTTAAATTACAATTAATGTTAATAACAAAAAACTTTCAGATAACTTTCCAGCACAAACACAAATTACACGCATTCTCTCTATTTTTCTCTATTTTATGATTGCTGTGAGTCCTTAAGACTCAACCTATCGCACATCATTACAGTTTTATAGCCTCACATATAAGTTTCTAATAGCTTTATCTCGCAGAAGCACTCAAATTTATTGCTACTCATTCCTTTTTTTCGAAAGGAGAAAGTAAAACGATAATATTTCTTTCGAAATATGACTGCTCTTCAGAATAAAGATTAGAATGTCTAGAAAAAAACAGTTTTAAATAAATTGTTCGAAATTCGTTTCGTATATTCTTTATGTGATCGCTTGCTATAAAATCTCTTTTTCTGCCTTAAAAATGGTAATATGGAGAGAAAAAAATGAACAGAAAACTCTAGCCATTACTTTTTTTTCTTCTTTTTTTTGCATTGTGAACTGTTAGAAAGTTTAAAGAGTGGTCAACCATTAAGTTGCTCTAATTTAAGGCAGCTTTAATATTGTGGTAATAGGAACCATGTTATTTTACGTTTTAGCTGGATTACACAATATGTTTAGCACAATACGAATGCTTGATTCAATTAAACAGATGGTTAAGTGAGTGTAAATCATTAGATTCTAAAACCGATTCGGAATATCGAAAACCTCCGGTACATCTCTCCGCTTATGTTTGCAAAACGATGAGTAAATAGGCTCTTTATATTCTAAGATGTATTATTGAAATAATATTAAAATTTGAACACAATTTTATCACATCTAATTATTTTTTTTTAATCTTATAAATTAAAAAAGAGCGTGAGCCATAAATAAATTTTAAAGTAATTAATGTTTTGATATAAATGAAATTTAGACAGTGCCAAGTTTTCAGTGTTAATTTCAGTTTTTTTTTTTTTTATGATTCCAGTTAAAATTGAATGAAATGACAAATAACAAAAATCAAATTTTGAAGTATACAAGTACAATAACATACGATGCCACGATTTTAAAACTGAAACTTAAAACAATTTGGAAGAAATTGGAAAAACCCAGAAGATTTTTTACGAATTTCAAGCACTAGCGCCATCTGTGTTTTCTTTATACTATTAACCCTCTATAACCAGTAACATAGCAACAAAAATTCGCATTGCTAATGTTAATAGCACCAATATTATGGTTGGAGACGTGGTGGCTCAAGAGATAGAGCATTCGTCTCCCAACGAGGTTCGTATCCCAGCCGTGGCTGGTCGATACGAATTCCGCACCCGGCTCGCACCGACAACAATGCCGACCCAAAATATCCTCAGTGGTAGACGGATCGTGGGTTAAAGTTCCCTTGCCATCAGACTAACTATGGGAGGATTTCGTGGTTTTCCTGTCCATGCAACGCAAGTGTGTGAATTCCATCAAAAATTCCTCAAATGAGGGCAAATTTCTCGCAATACTCGATCCAGGAGTTCCCTTGTCTTTTAGGTTGGGTTCACAATTACAAGGCTGCGGAAACATTGGTAGTCGTAAACTCACAATTTAGTCGGCTGTTCAACGACGGTTATAAAATAATATGGTTCAATATTTAATTAATCTACGATAAAGTGCACGTTGTAATCTAATTAAAAAATTGAATACTTCATAATAATTAAATTAAATTGATCAGGAATGGAATATTTTGCTGTGATTATTTCTTTGTTTCCATAGCCATCCCTAAAAATTATGCATTATGGAGTATTATAATTTAATCCAGTTTGATTGTATAAATCATATAACTCAGAAGTGGTAGAAAAAAAAGCTTAACGTATTTCAAATATTTTTATTACGGATTTATATAAAAAAAAATACATTAATTAACAGTGAATAAATCAACATATTTCACACAGAAGTATAAATAAGATTTCAAAAGAAGTTCCCTCGTTAGATACAGTTAGCTCCAAGTACAATTGATAAAAAGTTAACCCTTGGTTCTGGTACATTAGATAATTTTAAAAAAAATGTATACAAGGTTATCCTTGGTATCAGCCCTTAATGTATATTTTCAGAATCCATAACAAAAGAAAGCCCAAATATTAGGGATTACAAATATTTAAATGAGAAAAAAATGATATCGAAATCTATGGAACGGCATCATATTAAAATTAGAATCAGCTTGATGAAACTTTGGAGCATCTCTATTTATTGCTTTTTAACACATTTCGGAAATCAAACGGGTTTTTCAGCTTTCTGTCCTCAAAATGCATACATAAAAAGACGACACCTCGTAAGTATACAGTCTTGATTTCAATTTCGTGTATAATTCTAAAAATATATTTTGAGGTCAGTCATTACAGAGCACCCTTTACAATGACTTTTCGCATCTCGCCAATTAGGCAGAAGAGCTGCGATTGTTCTTGTTTTCCAGTGGCGCCATCTATGGCCAAGAGTTCGACTTCTGCCTCACTCATACGTCACACCCGTTTACTGGGAGGACCCATTCATGCATCCATTCATTCATCCACAGATCGTAATTTAGACCTGAATCAGAGAATGATCAATCTCCAATCCAGTACCCGCAGAGGTAATGATTTGTTATGGGAACATGGAGGACTTTGAGACTCGACAGATTTAACATGCATCAGTCACCATTTACAACACGGTCTTCGGCCGGCAGGGATCGAACCTACAACCCCTTGCGCATGGGCCCAGTGCCCTACCAACCAGGCTATCCCGGCCCAGTCGCATTCGTGATTTTATTATTTATTAGTTTCTTATACTTTACTGTCTAGTAATGGATGGCAAACTTTGGCATGCATTTTGTCATAGATTTTCACAATGTGTTTATGAATCTTAATTTTTCAATACAATTTTTTCCATGGATTCTTATTTTTATTTATTTATTTTCTTTAGATTTGTTTGACAATTAAAAATATTTTTTCGATAGAACAAAAACAATTCTTCTTGGTTTCCTTATTACAATATTTCCATATTATAATATAATTGCTTATCATAACATATACCGCCAAGTTTCGTAATGAAACAATAGAACGCTTTAGATGCTTGGTTATTAGTTATTTCACTTTTAAAAGCATGAAAAGGCTTCAAATAAAGTGCTCATTTTATTTTAAATTGTACATGGGGAAAAAAGAGAAAAAGAATGATGCCTGAATCAAAATTGGAAAAAATTTTCATTCTGTGCGATATATTTTATTCTGTCAATACAAATTTTCTATTGAAAATGATAATGGCTACACTGTTTCGCATTGACAACTATCCACGACTAATTAAATTGAACAAAAGAATGTATACTTCAAAGGCTTGTTTCCTTAGTTTTAAACTTTTTTATTTTGTTTCGAGTCTAGTGAAAGAAGATTGATGATTTTCTGCACTCAAAGGTTCTCTCTTTACATTGTAAAACATTTTGCTGAGAAAACAAATTGACTTATTTAAAACTTGTAAAATGATAAGTGACAGTGGAAGCAGTGAGGATAAAGCCTAAACATTTCAGACAGAAACAGCAGCAACAAAAAAAGTTTTAACTCTTTATCTTCATTTTGTTTTTCGTTGTTTTAAGTACATAGTTTTTTTCCGTTCAATAGAGATAGCGATTTTATTAAATATTTTTTTAACAAACGGGATAAGGCAAAATGAGGCATCATCAACTACTAAAGCTTAGAAAATATGACTCAATTAAGAAATTAAGAATCAACGAATCATTAAATTAACGAATCAACACATTAACAAATCAATATATCGGCAAATCGTTGAACCAGAAAAATCAATGAATCAGAGAATCAATAAATCATTTTATAGTTTAATCTGGTGAATCAAATTAGTGTCTTTTTGAAAAAAGCGGTCGTTATGCATTACATAAAAAAACTAACATTAAGAAAACTATTAACTGCAGAATGAAGGAGATTAATATTTAAGTTAATACAAATACAGAAAGTTAGCTACAAGATAGATAGATAGATAGAAAAAATTATAAATGGATTATTAATGTTCTCCGTGAGAGTGGGAAAATTAAATAAACAAATTTTTGATTGAAATTCTTACGACAACAGAAAAAGAGAAAGGCCTAAATAAATTAAAAAAAGCTATAATAAGTTCTCTGATTCGACTCTAAGAAGAGGTATATGATGATTATATACTAAAAACAGTGAAGAAAAAACATCCTATTAGTTACGCAATAACATTATTCAGAGTAATAATTTTTTTTTTAAATTTACAGATCTTTCCTTTATTATTTTTGTAGCAAGAGAACGCTTTTGGACATATTGCAATACAGGCTTCAGGTTCTACGAGAATTAGCGTCAAATGCAGTTCACAATATGTTATTATTTCAACAAATAATTAAAAATATACCCAACATGTAGGTTTAAGAGGAATTATCAAATCTCAAGTAGAGAAGGAATTTTCGAAAACTTCCAGCGCTCTTACCTTTTCGAAATTTGGAATCTTCTGTGCATAAATCTGTGAGCAGGCTTTGTGCGCCTTTTGTCATCTGTCTGTACAAGTCTATTTGCCCGCTATCGAAGCACCGACTTGTGAAACTATTGACGCATTGCATGGCTTCTTGTAAGTGGCTGCAATAAAATAGAAGTTCAATAAATGCAACATTTTAAAATCAATTGGTTCTAATTAGTATTTATCACTCACATAACATCACTAACATTATAATGATTGATCAATTAAGCGAAATTGATTATTGTGTGAAAAAACTTATTGATATTGATCAAAACATAATGATCATATACATGTAATATAAAATTCCTCATAAAGAGTCTTTCTATATTAACTGATAAGCTTAAACAGATGTTTCTTATCAAGTTTAAGATACAGAAATCGGTCTCTCACAAAGAGTCATAAAAAACCAAGATAAACCAGATAACGCCAGATAGAAGATTATTTTCTGAAGTTAATGGGCAATAATTCGTCGATGAAGTACGCATTAAGATAGTCCCAAAAACTTTCCAGTGGCAGAGTGGCGCTATCCGTTTAGCGAATCAAAATCTCTAAATTTTATCAATTGAATGACGCTTCATTAAGATAAGAATATCCTTGCAACCACCTCAGTTTCAGAACCTCTCTTTAAACATCAAGCGCACCGAGAATTCGTGGCTTTTTCTTATAGTTTCATGGCTAGATAAATCTGGGCCAATTCCCAACATTCCTGCTATGGAAACCCAGTAATGTAAACGATGCAAAACTACAAACAATGTTTTCAATACTCAATATAACGTAATAAAATGCCTTTTTATCTAAATCAGCCTAAGTCTCTTAAATTATCTTGCCTTTAAAGGCATATCATTACATAATAATATATTTCTAATTATAACATTTATCAACAGCAATATACTGATCAATTCATAATGTTTAATATTAATCAACTACATTACGAAGGGTCCATGCTAGGGATTTCAAATTATTGGCCAATAAATTAGTCAAATATCAAAAGTATTCACCAAATTTTAATCTTTAACAGTTAATATTTATTTTTCTCTGCACTGGAAAAAATCATTCGCTCTAATATTTTCACCAAAACACAATTTTATTCGCCAAATTTACGATCCCGTTTGGCGAGGTAGAGAATGCTTAACGTGGACTCCTGATTTTGTTCAATTTATAATTATTATTATTTTTCAACTACATTACATTGATTAGGAATAATATTCACAATTCATAAGGAATTACACTGATTGTTTAGGATTACATTGATTTATTAGAAATAACATTTACAATTAATAAGGAATAATTGATCAATTTATAACATAATTATTGCTGAACTATTTACTGTTGATTAATGTATATTAAATCTAACAACAACAACAAATTTGAAGTTGTCTGTAAAGTCTAAACTCCTTTGAAATTACAAAAAAAACGAAAGCTGAAATTCAAATTTTTTTTAAATTTTAAATCATTTTATTTTCCAAAAAATTTAGCATGACGCAATAAAATTCATAGTTATTAAATAAACGTTGAATTTACAATGCTTGAAAACTTCATTATTATTTACTCGAAAATCCATAACTTCAAAAAGAAGAAAAATCGATTTCATGTAATTTTAGAATTGTCAAAAAATGTTTCTGTATAATTCAGTTGAGTCACTAAAATTGATTATAAAAAACTGTTCCAAAATTCCCTCAAATATTTTTCATAGTAATTCATTTTATTAATACTTCCTTTTGAGAAGTCGACTTAAATTGTAACCATTCCTCTAATATTAAAGCTCAAAGTTGACTTTTATTAGAAAATTTAAAAACTTTCGATCTTCGATCTTAATTTCATCTGAAATAATTTCGATTAAAATGAAATCATAATTTCGAGCAAACTTTTCAATAACATGTAATAAATGAAGCGCAAAAATTCTTCCATTTAGAAGAAATTTGCTTAAGCGTAACTTTCAAATAATTTTTTTTAATTTTGTGTAAAGTACTATTAATCTCAAAAAATAGCATATTAAGCATTTATTGCACCTTTTATGCTATATTTTGATCTCTTCCACCCCCACCGCCAAAAAATTAAATGAGCGTAACAGTAAAATTACAGTAGGAGACAGAATTGCATTTTAGACTGTATGTATTCTGGACCAGTATAAATATTGACTCTCCTAAAACAAAATTTCTGCATTCAGCATGTATGGTTGATTTATTTTAATGACAAGTAATATCTGTTGCGTTTTAGTACATTTAATGCATTTCAGGCATCTTCTAAGAAACTTTATATTCTAAGTAATTTCTTCCATCCCTTTGATTGGAAAATTCTTTAAAACCTGCATTTAAAAGCGGAACTAATCTAGATGAGTACCAGAAACTTAATATTTTTAAGATAAAATACCAATGTTTTTTTTTAAATAGAAATAGTTTTTATTCAGCTTGACAAATTCCAAAAAGTGCATGCTTGTTGTATTTTAGACAGGACCAAGACACTTGAACCAATTAATACAAATATTTATCCTTGTGGTCTTTATTGCTCACAACATGCTCTTAGTAACTATATTATTTTTAACTCTCCAATTAATTATTACTTCATAGTAGTTGCGATTTATTTATATTCTATGTAGGGTACTTGAAAACTAAGCTTGAATTGTGTTTCTGTAACTTTAATACTAATCTGTGTAATAAAATTTTCGAAAATTTAGTTTTTTTCATTGGTTAATTCAATTGGTTAGAATTAAAAATATTTGCAATAACGTTGAAAGTTTTCAGGAGGCTGTGAATAATTTTTTGAATAATTTGAGTTATAATGATTTTCCTTTTAATTATTGTAATATTAATTTTTTGATTAAGAAAATGATTGAAGAATTTTAATTTTTTATTTCTTTTAACAGGGCGAAAATCAAGTCTCAACTGAGCAGCCCCAGTTAAGCATTATACTAATTTGTTACGTAATCTTTTCTTTTGCTATTCTTTTTTTTCATTCTCCACATTTAAATAGAGGGGGTTGTTTTCTTTTGTTTTAGAGTTTCCTTTGCATATAGTTTGTTTGTGAAATTGCTGTTTGACCACCTTTATGTGAGTTTTTATTTTCTCAAGATTTTGTTGAATTTTCTTTTCCGATTTGGTTTTATGTATTTCATGTATTTTTTCTTGGACTTCTACAAAATCTTCGGGGAACTGAGAGAGTTAATTTTGGCATTTGTCCTCTCTCTCAATAGAAAAGGTTTTGTTTTAAGGCTTCCGAGGCCAGTACCCCCTGAAGACGTCGGCTTCGGTGGTCATATTTTTATTTTTATTTCCATTGTTTTCTTTACTGCTTCAATTATTCTTTCTTTTGAAAATTCTGCTGCTTTTAAGCGCGTTTCTTTTAAAGATAGTTTTGCCGATTTAGAATTTAATATTTTGTATTCTTTTACTACTTGAATTGTGGGAATATCCAAGTTCAATTAAGAGATATAAATTAAAGTTAAGAGAAAAAGAACTCAAAATGTGTGCAATGCAAGAGGTAACATCTAATGGTCCAAGGTGCAACATTTGAGGTACCAAAGTACACCACATTATATAGCTGTCCGATTGTTTTTCTTGGAAAAAATATTCTTTTCAGACGTATCAGAATTCTTTTACCAAAAATTGCCTGACAAACGCATATCTGCCTACTTGAGAAATAATTTTCTTAGTGGAAGCAACATAAACGTAAATCTTGAAGTTTAAAATAATAAATTCTGACTATCAGGATGAATCAGTAATTTTAAAAAAGTGTGTAGATAAGATCTATTCATATGTAGATAAGATAGATATAGAGTGTAGATAAGATCTATTCATATGTAGATAAGATAGATATAGATTGTAGATAAGATCTATTGATAAAATATACGTAAATAGTATCTTTTTTATTATCTATTAGGTGGCTAATTATGCTTATAGATGTCTTACTAGTTTTGTTTTTAGAAAATTCTTCTAAACTTAATTGCTGTTTACAACCACTTTATAAACTCGTTTTCAAATTGGCAGGTATGCAAACGTATTATTTCCGCAAATTTTTTTTAATGATTACTGTACAAAAGAAATAAAAAGCTGATATTGGTTCAAGGTACAAGACTCACCTACAAGTAATCCAAAGGCTAAGAAGGAAAAAAATTAACACAGAAAATTCTAAAATGATTGCTTACTGGCATGTTTGGCTGAGTTCTTCTTCTGTTTGTGCAAATGCTAAATCTTGGTTATTTGTGAAAACTTTTAATTCTTCCATGCAAGACATGAGATCCTTTTCATTACAGTTTGGGGCGGAAATAACTGAAGAAGCTAAAAATCAAACAAAAAAAGGATGTTACTTACAATCACATAATTTTATTTGTTTATTAACTTTTAGTTTAAGCAATAATCCAATGTAATCTTTCAAATTAACTATGTGGTTCTTGTTACTAATGTCACTTGCCAATACCAGCAAACCTGCTATGTGAAACCAAGCGATTTTAAAAGCAGAGGATGCATTTCTTGTTTTTCAATTCTTGTTTAATAACTTCTTATTACTGATAACGTCATTAGCAATACTGAAAATTCAACGCAACACAATTTAAGCATCAGACTAATAGATAAAAATAAAGCTGCACTGAAATAAACATGCTTATTAATTTCTTATTACTGATAACGTCATAAGGCAATGCTAAAAATTCAACGTAACACAATTTAAGTGTCCGATTTATAAACAAAAATAAAACTGCACCGAAATAAATATTTTTATTAATTTCCTATTATTAATAGCGTCATGAAGCACTACTAAAAATTCAACAAAACACAATTTAAGCTTCAGATTTATAAATAAAAGCAAATTTAAATAAATATTACAAACAAACCTGACATTTCAAAACATGGAATAAACAAAGCATAACAAACTTTTCACGTACAGTTTTATAGAATGCGTTAGAAAATGAAATGTATTTAGGTTGCATTTTTAACATTTCGTGACTGCTCAAACCTTTATCCCCTTTATCTAGAATAAAACTCGGCGTTTCAGTTCTGTACTTATGATAGAAATAAATACATATTTTAAAAAAGTATCTTCGAAATGTGCTTCGTTTCAGTTTTTTCTTTCCAAAACATTTTCCCTTAAATGAAAACCATGCAAGAAGAAAACTTTTATTCTAAATCATTTCGCGAATTTTAGTCTTTATAAATGCTATTTACTAGACACCGATCCTCATATTTTCTTTAATTTTTAATACTTTTGCGAATTTGAATACTATTCCTTACGAGAGTTATATTTTATCATACAAGATGAGCATAAAAATAGTGTGAAGTGCTTAGAGCCTCATAACACATGATGCAACGAATAAAATATAAAAAAACAATAGCGCACATTCTAACCGAAATTAATTCCTAAAAGGAAAAAAAAATAGTTTTAAAAATCATCAAGAAATATGGCAATTTTAGCAAACTACGAATTTGCTGAAACATCAGAATAGCTGTTTATGGTGATTCATGTTAGTATATAATAATAAATTCTGTTTGTAACTAATAAAACAGCTGTTATTTATTGTTTTGGTTGTTACGCATCGTTTAATATCAGTCTAATCTCTCAATATTGGCGACTTTCGTAAATAAATAATTAATTCAGTACCCATTGGGAAAAAATGGAAATTTGTTCCCATTCCAAAAAATGATCGTCTCATTCCAGGCTTTAGATCCTGTGATTAACATAACTGACTTGTAAACACGCTGTGTTCGCTATTAAAAACAAATCAAAAGAGTCGCCACTGTTTCGGGTGCTGAATTTAAAATTACATTTTGCGTTCCTAGGCAACAAAAAAAATATAACACTTAGAAGCTTGAAATTATTAAGGTGAATAGAAAAATGTAAAATGGATACAACGGAATAAAAAAATTTAATATTTGATAATTAGTCTGCAAATGACTAATTGTTAAACTTGTAGTAAAAAATACCATACAAGTCGCTCTACAATACAATCACAGAATTGAAATTCAGCATGCTAAAAGGGCTATAGGTACTTTTTATAAACTTACTACATTTTTTTTCGAAATTACTATCTTTCAACAGTTATTTCTATTTTAGGTACTTTTTCGGAATTTTTCTCACTTTTTTTTTATTTTGCTTTGCTATTCAAAATCTAAAAGAGCTTATACTAATCTTATCAAAATCTGTAAGAGCTTATACTAATCTTATCAAAATCTGTAAGAGCTTATACTAATCTTTTGAAAATCTATAAGAGCTTATGCAAAATCTCTAAGAAATCTATAATTACAAATATGTGAAGGGAAAAGTACACGAAATTCAATGGAATAAAAAAAAATACGATTCAATAATAAGTTCGAGAATATAAACATGCTTATTAATNTTTTCTCACTTTTTTTTTATTTTGCTTTGCTATTCAAAATCTAAAAGAGCTTATACTAATCTTATCAAAATCTGTAAGAGCTTATACTAATCTTATCAAAATCTATAAGAGCTTATACTAATCTTATCAAAATCTATAAGAGCTTATGCAAAATCTCTAAGAAATCTATAATTACAAATATGTGTAGGGAAAAGTAGACGAAGTTCAATGGAATAAAAAAATACGATTCAATGATAAGTTCGAGAATTATTGACTGCTTAACTCTTTACAAAATCATGTTGACTGATCTATAGTCAATAATAAATTATATATTTCAATCTTTAAGAGGAAAATTTAAACATTTTCGACCAGTCTCCTATTTTGAGCATATTGCACTTTTATCAAAAGTAGTTTGAGAAAGAACTGAGAATTATGATCTCATTCTAGATAATAATCTTTTTTTGTACATATTTTGAGTGTAAAGGAATAAAATAATAATTTTTAGGTTTAGAGATACGTCTATTAATATAATTCCAATTTTATGCTAAGTAATAACAAAAGCAAAGATTAAAAAACATTGAGACAATAGTTCAGAAGGTAGGAAAATCTCAAATACCTATAGGATTTTCTCTGCATATCTTTATTTTTAAAACTAAGACGATTTAAAGTTATGTTATCCATATTTTCAGAATCATTCTTAAAGAAAAAAAATCTAAAACTTCTAAGTAAAAAGGAAAAGAAATCCTTCTAGATTCTATTTTTTTTCCTTCAACAAAAAATTTGCTTTCACTTTTACGGACTAAGAAGAGAAAAAAAAAGTCTCCAATTCCTTTGCTATCATAGATAAAAAGTTCGAATCTTGGAAAAGCAGTTTCTTTTGTAGCCAGTTTCTTTTCTTATCGCCAAAGACTCTGACAGCTAATATTTATTTAGCTATTTCTGATCCCATCTGCTCAGGCGATAAGACAATAGATTATGATGAAAGGATTCATCATTTTTAACGGTAGCAAGTCATTTACAGCGTAACTAATAAAGTAAGGACGGTATCCATCAGCGCAGGATTCTGAAAGAAGTAAATAAGGCTAACGTTTTATTTTTATCTAACGCTTGATTACCTGAAAGCATTAACATGATAAATTATATTTTAGCTTGATGTATTACGTTTACTTGAGTTATTTTTAAAGTATGATACTATTTTACTTCCAAATGAATAATGTTATGGCCTGCATCTTGTAGCTAGAACTGAAGATGTATCGGTATTTTTAACATCATATCGATTTTTCTAAATATATTTTCATGGTGAATATCTTCATTGATACTAGAAATTTATTTCGCTATAAATCTTGAAGGTAAGATAATTCGTGAGAACGATAATATCGCGTTAATTATCTAAATGAAACTTTATCGATGAAGGAAATATCGCGACTATTTCAGTCAACGATATTGAATGCGATAATTCATTGCAATAATTATCGGTAACGATATTGACAGGCTATAGATTATGGGGACAAGATTCACCATTTTTAATGGTAATAAGTCATTTATTGCGTAACTAATAAAGACTCATGAATTCAGGATGAGGAAGTAAATAAAACTGGTACAGCACTATCTATCCCCGGCGGTTCTAGCCAGTAACCCCATAATTAAGCATCTCACACACCTGCCTTAGATTAACTCTCCTGTATCAGTTCAAGATAGAGTGCGGCAGAAAAATTTTATGCGCATGCGCCAGAATAGCGAGATAAAGCCAAATATAGATGGAATGATATTTCAGGGGAAATGTTTTCTTTAAAATGGATGGCCACCTTCTTATGAATTCTTATGAATGGCGTATGAAGCAGTAGTCTTTTGTGATTTGTAGTTGCAAAATTTTACAACTAAGAATATGCGAAGAAAAAAAATGGCGATGCTTAATAAATCAAGTACCAGTCAAAATATCTGTACGTTAGAAATATTTCTTTAAAGTTTCTTTTTTTTTTTTCAAATTTGGAACTGCAGAGGCTGGGATAGCCTGGTTAGAAGGGCACTGGGCCCATGTCCAACGGCTCGTGGGTTCGATCCACGCCGGCCGAAGACTCCCCGTGTAGTAAAAGGGTGACTGATGCACGTTAAATCTGTCGAGTCGCAAAAGTCCTCCAAGTTCCCTGTAAATCAACACCTCTGGGGGTACTGATCCAAGAGTTTCCTTGTCTTCTGGATTGGTTCAAAATTACAAGGCTACGAAATTGAACATTAGTAGTGGTTTTAATTTCTTTTGAACCGTTTATGTTTATATAAAAATTTTGATAAAAAATATTAACTTTATATCTAGCAGCATCAAATCTCACTTTCTTACAGTGTTTTATCAAAATTTTTCATTTTTTTTTTGTAACTTTTCACATGAAATCAAGTGAGAGACTATCTGCAATAGGTGTCCTCTATATCGTCTAAGTTCTTTATGTATTGAATTTCAATAGTAATTTAAAATCTATGAGGGAGCCATTTAATCACACAAACCATTGTAACTATGGATTTGGGATACTTCATTTGGGACAGTAGGCAGCAGAAGTATTAAAAGATCGTTCATCTATAAGATAGAATAACCATCCTAATTACTTGTTGTACTATTGCTCGAAAAAATCAAGCTCCGTCACCACTAATTGGTATGTCAGTATGTAGCACATAGCAGCGTTTATCTTTAAAATTTCTACGGCCATTTCAGAAAGGATGAAAATAAATCTGCGCAATAACTTCGTAACTAAGTTTTTATTTCTATAAACATACAGAATTATTCTAAATAAATACTTAACACATAACTAACTATTCAGCACTATAAACTATTACTATTGAGACAACCTAACAAAATGAATAACCTTAGTGTTGCCAACAGATAGAGAAATATTAGAGTTTTATCGAGCCATATAAGAGAAATATATATATTAGGTTGCGTAAAAAGTCATCGCGTTTTCTTTTTTTACAACAGATGGCAGCACTGCAGTTTCTGAAATACTTGGAGCATTTGC